TTAATCCGTTTCTAAATCTTTCTTTAAATGTTTCCTGTAAACATTCTGTAAAGGGCCTACAGAAATATGGCTTACATGGATGCCAGATGTATTCGGCACTCGTCCATATTGGTCATCAGATGGATGCCGGATATTGCCTTTTCGGACATTGCCTAACCTCCGGTCGCAAAACATCCGTTTCGATCGGCGCCGATTTTGGGACCGAGATTACCGGTGACTTGCTTCCGACTTCATCTTCTGGGATTATTATTGAAAATTGTGTAGAAACGTTTTCGCGAACGATTTTCTTTACCGAGGTAGGTACATGTTATAGTAACTGAACTGCGGATTTTTACAGGAAATAAAAATGATTTGCGTTAACTGCAAGGTCCCACGTGCACGTCTGTTTCTCGCCTTCGACGACCGCGCGAAACCAGCGGTCTGGTAATTAATCGCACGAAATCCGAATAAAAAGGATCTTGCCGTTGCTACAAAGCAATATGTACATATTAAACGCGTTAACATGTGACACATCGAACGTTAAAATTCACCGATCATTCCAATTTAATACGAGAAAAGTATATGCTAGGTAGCTTAAAGTCAAAACAACTGGTGATGCAATTTAATTCGAAGCGTCACAGGTTGCGCTTGTACGGTAACAAACGCAAATGAAGATATTGTGAGAAATGACAGAAGTTTCGTAGCAATTATGCAAAAGCGGTATAATTACGAGATCGATTAGCTGGAGAAACTTCACGACCTTGGAATCGAAGTCCGATTCGATCGTTTTTATGCGTCGCACAATACATGGTCGGTTTCCATACAAAGAGCAGAAAAAAGTCGGTTTATGCTAGCCATGCTTAAGCCACATGTTCAATTAAACATGTGTCTTATTATTTACTACGATCTTTATTTACCATTTTCCAATTTTGGACACGGCTATATGGGTTCAAAGTGGCCCATCTCCAAATCATTCTAAATTTACATTATCGTCTATAATTATTTCGTTCTTTGAAAATAAATAATTTTCTACAGAATTCAACGTACTTGGTATGCACTTAAATTACGCCACAGGACACATTTTTATCTCTTATATTTTTTGAATTGTGTCCAATTGGATATGTTGAATTCTCATTTCATTTTTTAATTATCAGTTCGATTTCGATGATCGCGTTTTGACGAGCGACGCCATACATATTAATAACAAAATAAAAATTGAGAAATGAGAATAATTATAAATTGTTTTTTTAAAATTATATATAGACTTTTGCTCACATCCGACCCGTTCATGTCGAGTGTGAAGAAACGAATGTTCAAGAGATCGAAAACATTTCTCAAAGAAACAATCGAGAGGATGTACGATTTAATAGAATCGAATTGAAAACCAAGATTGCATCTTTAAAATATTTTTTTACAATTAGAATACACTGCATTTTGTTTACATTATTCTATCCCAACAAAAACCCAAATATACGTACTAGTAATATAAGATGAAAAATTAAAGCTTAAATATATAATTTTATATATTTTATATATATACAGTTTGTTACATATATGCTTTTTCCCCGCTTTCTGTACGGAAACCGACCACCACGAGTCGGCCGGAAAGACGACGACGACGACGATCACCGAACGTGCTATTTCTTCTCAACGATTATTATTTACCGTGGAGCACACGCATCGGCGCAACAAGCCTCCTTGTTGCGCGGCGCGGCGCGTCGGTTCGTAAAAAGTATTCGCAAACACTTCCGAGTTTGATATTTCATCCCGGCGACGAGCGTAATCAATACGCGGGAACAATATTTATTAGGAGCCGCGTACATAGTTGCAACACGTAGGAGCGTGCACCGCCGAAAACGTTAAATAATGCACCGACGTCTCTGCTCCGGTCTTTAAACCCGCGTATGAAGCTATCTCGGCGGCAGCCGCATCAAAGCCATCAGTTACATGTGACCAAACATAAATCCACATCTCCCGGCAGCGAAACGTATGAAACGAGATAACAAGAATTAAGTACCGTTTCTCCGTGGCATGGAAGACGAACACAACGAAGGAGTGGGGGGGGGGGAGGGGGCGCAGTAGGTTCAACACCAAGCGAGAACCGAGCAAAAACCGAGCGAAATGGATACGAGAAACGTCCGCGACGCGAGAGGGTCCCCCCCCCCCCCGGTTTTGCTAATCTCGCGCGAAGACAAATGGCCGTTTCTAAACATCGAAGCCGCGAGAGTCTTTTGCATTCGCGGCTCGACTGGAATAGTAAAATGCCGGGGAACCGAGCGTCGAGACGGCAGACGTACATAGTTATTTCGTCGTGGAGCCGATCTCGTACTCGGCACAACGGTCCCCGTGCATTCGATCCAAGCATCTCGCAACCGCTTGCACGGTAAAACGATGCATTGAAAAGGCGCATCGGGAGAATCCTGGTCCTGTTAAGCGGCCCGCGAACCGTATTATTACGTCGGATGCGCTTACTCATGCCATCGTTTCGCCCCGTTCGACTACAAGGAAAGAACGTGGACACACACAAACCGCGCTGCCGATTTCCAGGAAATTCACTTTCACCGGACCTTGTCCGCGAGCGTTTCTCGGCTGAGTCGCGTCATTAGTTTCTATATCGACCGCTGCGCGCAGCGTCTCTCTTTCGTTTTCATTTCGTCTCCTCGTCCGCGCTCGCCGCTGGAAAATGGACGCCCGCCATGTATTCGCGGAATCGATCGCAGAACCGATAGCGCGCCGCTGCCGATCGCAAGCGCGCGGCGGAACTGTACGCGCGATCGTCGACCGATGTAAATAAACATCCCCGTTGCTCCTATGCTCCGTTCGTCGAGAACCGGCGCAAAGTATTAAACAGATGCACGCGTACGGCGCGTGATCGGACCGGAGCCGAATCACGATTTTCGAGTGTGAAAATTCACTTCCGCATGAGAAAAAATAGGAAGTTGACTTTCTCAACAATAATTACGCGATATTAACACAATACGGTACGGGCTGTTCGCGCGAAAATTGTTGCGTGTAACGGGCATATTGAAGAGGGGTTCTTACTTTCAACAACGAGAATTGAAGTCTTAACTATTAAGCCTCTTTCCTTAATTAAGTTTCGACTATTTTTAGTTCTGCGACATTTCACGAGCAATAAAAAAAGAAATTAACGATTTTTAGTCATCCGGACGGTAATGTGTTAATACGATATTATGACGTTCGCGAAATGTCGGAGAACTAAAAGTGGTCGAAACTTAATAAAAAGAAAGAAAGCTTAATAGTTAAGACTTTAAACTCAACAACGTTGTCGACTGAATCACGTAACGATGTAAATTGAAAAACAAAATCGGTTATGAAAAACCGTTCTTCCACATTTGCTTAATTAGTCTATTACGATCGTATCGCGAAACAAGGGATCTCCGTTGAAGCCAGTGCAACGTTCACTTTTAAGATTTTCGACCGTCTGGCCTTGCACGCAAGCAGGGTAAATATGTTATATCGAAAACAATGGTGTTATCGCGATGAAACGTATCTATTAAAATATTAATATAATAAACTGATCGATAGATAATATTATATTATATTATATATATAAATGAGGAAATTTTATATTATAATATTATATATTATATATTATATTATATATATAAATGAGGAAATTTTATATTATAATATTATATATTATATATTATAATTAAATTTAACAGTGAAAAAAAAAAATTCCAGGGATCATTATAGGGTTATTTTTAATCCTAGAGTTTAATTTTTCCCTGAGTAGCCAGGAAGAAAATGCGTTTCGTTTCATTGCATTTCCAAGCAGAGTCGGCTCTGCCGAAACGGGCGCACATTCGTGACACGCCATGTTCGTGTAAACATTTTCATCGTATCTATGATCGTTGATGAAAACAGCGCGCGGCGCGTGCTCGGTGAGAAGAGGTTACGGAAATTATGAAACGAGAAACGTTCTCGCGTCTCACGGTAGCGTCGGCGCGCGAGGTTCGATGGTCGAGTGGTTTTCGTTAGCGTTTCATTGTAAGTAAAAGAAAAGACTCTCGTCGAACGTTTTGCTTCTATCTTTATGCGCTCGATTCGATGCGAGCGTGGAATGCGTTTTCAAGGCTTTCTTGGTTGACCAGTTTCCTCTGGGAAAGTCTACTCTTCCAACCGGATAATTTGTGGGAGAGTGGTCTGGTTCTGGACCAATTGCCATGTTCTTTTTTTTTTGCTTTGGTTTTTGCGCCAACTGCGGTCGAATGAACGAGGCCGTAAGAATTTGTCCGAGACAAGACATCTCGAGCACGGACGTTTCAGTCGAACGAACGGTACAGTAATTTCTCTCGCATTGTCCCTCAGCTTCGATACAAACATGGACCGCTTGGGAGGAGGGGACACGATTATTCGAGTCTCGCGGCTCGTTTTTATAGTTGTGTTGACAATCGGCCGACTGTAAAAACGAGCCGCGAGGCTCGTATAATCGTATTCTCCGCTTCCAAAAGCGGTCCATTTTCGTATCCAAGCTGAGGAACAATTTGGCAGGATTTACTGTAGTCGCCGATGTCGTTGCTGTTCGGAAAACAATTGGCGCAAACATTTCGCCACCTGCATTATCGTCTGCAGTAGTTTCATCAGCGATAACGCCGAACACGAGATCTTTTGTAAATTCTTGGCTGAATGCGAGATAACCTCTTTAGAAAAAACGTCCGCGGCGGCAGTGGCATCGCAGATAACGAGTCTGAGCGTAGCAGGCGGCGGTCGTGATTCATTTATGACTCGGCTGTTCGCATTATTTACCCCGTTGATCGTAAACAAATCTAAATTTATATATCATCGGATGACTCGTCTGTCTCCGTCGCGTTTGAGCGAATAGACCGACGCGATTTCTCATTAGATGTCTATTTATTCCCGTTTATTTCTGCGCGGAAACGTGTTGCATAACACCTCCGATGCTCGACGTTCGATTCTCTTAGGGTTAACGAGCCAAGGACCGGAGAAGGCGGAAGGGTTAGGCCGGCGTAATCGCGGAGGGAGCGAATCGGACTCACCTGAGGTGCACGCTGACAGAATTCCTCCTCGGTGAGCGACGTCAACGTCGCGCCGTCGACGTTGAAGCTCTCCAATGGCACCGAGGGCAACTGCAATTGCCTTCTGGCCCATTGTATCCAGGCGGCCACGTCCGCCGCGCTCCAGCGTCGCGGTTCTGCAACAACACCGCCGATCGAACGTTTTTTACAGGACACTTCAAATTGTTAACGAGAATAGCGAGAGAATAGACACGCAGTAATTTCGGCCTAATTCGTGCTCAAATTGCGCACAAAAATGGACAATTAAGAAAGGGGAGATACGATTGTTCGAGCCTTGCGGCTCATTTTTATAGTTACCGATTGTCGACAACTATAAAAACGAGACGCAAGGCTCGAGCAATCGCATCGCCTCTTCCAAAACTTGCCCCCATTTTTGTGCGCGATCTTAGAGAGAAATTAGTATATTCGCGGCCAACGTCGCAAAATTCAAAAACCAGCATACACAAACTGTTCGCCTAAACGAGGGGTGTCAAACTCGCGGCCCGAGATGAACATTTTTGCGGCCCAGTCAATATATCCGACGCAAAGTAAAAATAAAATAGAAATGTGAATTAGAAATTTTGAAAGCAGTCTCGGCTAATAAAATTTCTCCCGAAATAGGAAAGATAGTATCAGAGAAGAGATGTCAAGTATCAGGACGTAAACAATAATTTAACTTTATATATGTGTTTATTACAATGTACTAGTCAAAATAAAAATATTTGTTTCTATGAACATTGATTTTTTTTGCGGCCCACCTAAAGTTAAGCATTGTTTATTTGGCCCAAGTTAGCTTTTGAGTTTGACACCCCTGGCCTAAACCGTTGACTCGCGTATTCTGTACCATATTAACACTTTGCATTCGAATGATGACTTTGAGGCAGCTTTAAAATTGTTACATCACGTTCCGAGATAATTTTTATATTATAAAAGCTTAGATGTGAAAAAATGAAAAGTCTAATTGTTGTACGAGTCACAAGACTAAATTTCGTGTGCGTAAAATGCACTTTGTCATATAAAATGGAAATACCGTAAGTCAGAAAAATTAATTTAGATTTACAGTTAAAATGGCTTCGAGTGCAAAGGGTTAACAATTGGTTATCAGTTTTGTATCGCAAAAAAAAATGGATTTTCACCCGTATACATATAAACAAATCGTATTAAAATCAAATTAAAATGAATCATCGTCTCGTTCAGCCTACCGATTTCCCTTCGCTTCGATTCGAAATTTTACCGTGCTCGCCGTCCACGTTGACCGCGGGACAAGAAATCCGAGAGATTTCGCAAAATAGTCTTTCACTCGGCTCTTTTCTACTTTCGATTTCGTAACAGAACTTTCTAAGCCGGCAACGGCAACGAATCGTTCATCAGAATTCATGTTTTTACATCGTGGTCGACACAGTTTCCTCGACGGTTTCGAGGGGAACCAGACCGGTGGATGCGTGGCGGAAGTGTGGCCGGTGACCTTGAGCGGAGCCTCGAAATTTCGTAACGTCGATAACGACGGTGATGACTCGCGGCCGAGCACGATGCGCGAGTTCTCTTAACTTATTCCGAGCATGACATCACGGCACACGCTAATAGTCGAACCGGTCGCTGTCGTGCTCGCTCCTACGTCCACGAAGATAACGTCGAAGCGTCGCCCGCGGCAAGGTAGCAAGAAGGCCTAAGCGTCTAATGGACGCTCGCGGAGCACCTTCTTATTACCGACCGGCCACTATATCTCCACGATTTATATATTTATTATGCCACCATCAGCCGAGTGGCCATTAAGTCTTCTAACGGTACGGAACACTTTTTTTTTTCTTCGCCGAGCCTGTGGGACGCGCTGCAAATTACCGAGGGTATAATATTCATGCAATTACGCGGTCTTTTTTTGCCCGCCGCTGATTATGCTCGCGATTTTCGTTCACCGAGGAAACAGTTTACGATCGATCCCTTCGCATGGACGCTTCAACGGCCATCTACCAGTGTTCACAGGAAAAGTAGCTACGCAAGGAGTGGGGGGCAGGCGACGCATGCGCGGAAGTTCCGCGCAGCGGCGTCGCGCGTCTACCGCGTGAACGTTATATTTACGTATTTCATAAGTATAGAATACATATTTATAAAGTAAAAAATAGTTTGTACAATCACATTTAGAGAATTTCCTATTTTAACACGTTGACTGCCACGCGTATTTACAACAAAATCTCCTACAGGCCACCCGTGCCGCTATAGGAAGCGTGCGCCGTTAATTCATATCTGTTTCTGTTCCTGCATGAACAGTTGGAATCTTTGCCGAGTACCGAATGGTATAACTTAAAATCTCTGCCCTTATTTTTTTCAATAATGAAAAGAGATCGGATTGCCCGGAAGGAGAAGCATAAATAAAATTACATCGTCAGATTCTGATTTGGATACTGATAAATATAATCTTAGCGATAATGAATGTTATGAAGATACTATTGACGAGATTTTACGAGAATTAGTCATGGAAGAAGAAAGAAATGTTGATGATACCGAGGAAGCTACAGTTCAAATAAAAGATACGAAATGGACCGATCAGAGGCACGAGCATATCTGAAAAAACAAACAACTTTATGTCCAAGCTGTCCTGATCAACCTCAACTTTGCAGAGAATGTTTTAATGTTATACACTGCGAATAACTTTTTTAATAAACCATTTTTATAAGAATTCAATAGTTCCATTACCCCCTGTAGAATATTTGTCGAAATATTTTCGGAAATCCTTTGTAAGTAGTCAAATCAGCGTCACCCGAATTACGGGTGACGTGG